AGGAAAGGCTACCCACTCCAGTGTTCTGGCCTGGAGCATTCCATGGACTGTATAGTCCATGGGGTCACAAAGAGTCAGACAAAACTGAGTGACTTTCACTTTAAACTATCAAAGATATGCATGGAATAACAACATATTCAGGCATACAGATACTTTTTGAAAATGCATTATTTGTGTACCGTTTCTTGTGAAAGTTACCTGGAGACGGTATTTCAACTACAGGAGGGGGTAAACTGAGAAACAGGATGACTTAAAACACATAAAACAAGAAACTCGAATAGGAGCATGCATAAGTGAATCAGCCAAGTCAGAGATTAGCCAGGCTAGACATGTCACCAGGCAGGGTGTATCTAGGAAAATAATTTAAAGGAACTAATGATTTACTGATATATTTCACTATTGAAAAAATATTATTAATGGATATTTGACAGAACTGTTTAAACGTTTGGGGGAAAAAATGTCGCTTACCTAGAAAAATAAACTATTAAAAAAGCAAGCAATTAATTCTATAAATAATAAAAGATTTTTACAAGAAAATTAATTTAAGCAGAATAATGCTTGTCTCAGTATTGAACAATGTTTCTATAATCATTATAATGTAAATGAACTACTGACTAATGATCTAACCAAAATTGTTATAGAGGAGGATGAGGTGGGTATATTGGATGGTATAAGAGAGATAAATCACTACCTTTTTTAATATAGGAAATCAACATGCATGAGTTCTCAATCACTCAGTCATGTCCAACTCTTTGCAACCCCGTGGACTGTAGCCTGTCAGGCTCTTCTATTCATGAGATTTCCCAGGCAAGAATACCGTAGTAGGTTGCCATTTCCTTCTCCAGGGGATCTTCCCTACCCATGGATCAAATCCTCGTCTCTTCCATCTTCTGCGTTTACCACTAGTGCCACATAGGAAATCAATAGGTGAAGTTTTTTGTAGCAAAATCAAAGGATAGCATGATAAAAGTTAAAGTTACCCAGTTGTGTCTGACTCTTTGTGACCCCATGGACTGTAGTCTACCAGGCTCCTCTGTCCATGGAATTCTCCAGGCCAGAATACTGGAGTGGGTAGCCATTCCCTTCTTCAGGGGATCTTCCCAACCCAGGGACTGAACCCAGGTCTCCCACATTGCAGGTAGATTCTTTACCATGTGAGCCACCAGGGAAGCAAGTATGTTATTTTAAAGTAAGAATATAAATATCAGGGATGGATACTATGTGCCACGGGCGATTTTGCTTAGAGATGGGGGAGGGGAAGAGCACAGGCACTGCCTTTCTGTTAGGAGCAACTGAGTACTATTTGACTTAAATTAGGCACATTACTTTGATAAGAAAATCTAATAAATGATGAAAAGAAATGACTAATAAGAAAATTGTGTGCATTATAGATTATAAATGAACAGTAGTCTCTGTTTCTCCATATCCCCTCCTTGGTAGTGTTCTCCTGAGGTAGCCACCTTTAATCATTTCTACTTTTAGTTATTGAGATTTTTGGATGATATCACTGATTCAATGAACATGAACTTCGTCAAACTCCTGGAGATGGTGAGGGACAGGGAGGGCTGGTGTACTGCAGTCCATGGGGTCACAAAGAGTCGGACATGACTTGACAATTGAACAACTTTTTGTTATTCTGGCGGTTACCGGACTCATCTTTACCCAGTTAGCCAGAAGATAGCCATATCAAACTGCACTGTACATTGCAGGTTAATAGAGTACTTTGAGAATAGAGTACAATTGGCCTATGACTGTTGTGGTTTTTCATCCCTGAGCCACTGTATACAGCCAAGGAAGCAGCCCTGACCTAGTTGGGCAAAGCAAAGGGTTATCCTGCCAGTGGGAGTATGGCATTTCTGGCAAGAGATTCCTCTTCTAACTGTTGGAGTTGGTGCCATGGCAGATTTTCCTGACTCGGGGAGTAAGTGTTGAGCCCTGGTCCAGCTGGTTCGATTATTTGTTGATTTTGATTATCTGCACCAATAAGCTGTTTCTCTGGCACAGATAATCTGAATCAGGCAGTAACTTTCCATCTTCCTAACAAAAATGCTTTTTGCATTTTGAAATTATAATAAAGTTTTATTCAGTGTCCTCCAAAAGAGTGCTTATCCAGAAATATTATTGAATTAAATTAGGAACTCTTTAGTGCTCAGGGATAACCATAAATCCTTAGGCAGGTCTTTTTCCTTTACTTATATTTTTGCTCTTCTTGAAAGGTAGAGAAAAATCAGCAGTAATGATACCAGCTGTTTTTTATTCATCTCTTGCTATATCCTAGGCACTCTGGTAAGTATTCACCATTTCATTTTGTCTTCCCAATAGTTTTAGGAGCTTTCTAGAGTTGTCACTCCCATTTTAGACTGAAGAAACTGGTAAGAGTTGAGTGACTTGTCCAAGGTCACAGAGCTCAAGAGTGCCAGAGCTGTGTCTGAGCCCTGATTTGTGTTAATCCTTGGGCCCATGTTCTTTATCTCTCTGTTTGACTGGATTTCAGTGCAGCATCTGATTTTTTATTACGAGACTAAGAAAACAGCTACTTTATACATAAAACCCAATTGTCAATATAAGGTTACATATGTTATTGTTGTTGTGCTTATAAAAATTGTTACACCTTTTCTTTTGAAGGAAGTTTAGAATTTTATACATCTTCTATTTCTGTCACTGTGTCGTGTCCTCTCAACTCAAAATTCTGGAGTCATCTTTGTTATCTTCTGATATCTATCCTTTTATTTACATATACTCATCATATTCTCTTTATATTTCTGTCTTAACTGTCATTACTTCTTACATTTGGAGTATTGCAGCCATCTTTTTGTGGTCTACTATTACTCCCAGTCTCTACTGTCTTAATGATCATACACATTAATCCAGTATTTTGAAGCTCAGGTTCTCTCATGTTGCATACCTGTTTAAATCATTATTTCCTCATTATCTATAAGGAAAAATACAGCTTTATAAATCTAGAATTTAAAATGTTTGATAATTGGTCTAATCTATCATTCCATGAGTTTATGTGGCCTTACCTTCTTTCCCACTTTTCTTGCCCATGCTAGTATATCCTTAATCTGGCCTACTGAAGCACAGATTTTCTCTAAGACTCATTTGTTGTTTTTTACACGCTTCGTATTTTGGTTGTCTTTTTGTGTGTGTTTGTCTCATTTACTCAACTGAATTGCTAAGTCCTGAGTGTGGAGGTGAAAACTGAGTCCATCATAATATTTAGCATAGTTTCTTGCATATAGCACTGTGTAAAAATATTAATGTATAAATTTTTGTAATTTCCTGGTGGTTCAACGGTAAAGAATTCTCCTGCAACACAGGGGATGTAGGAGACATAGGTTTGATCCTTGGGTCAAGAAGATCCCCTGGAGGAGGGCATGGCAATTCACTCCAGTGTTCTTACCTGGAGAATTCCATGGACAGAGGAGCCTGGTGGGCTATAGTCCATGGGGTCGCAAAGATTCAGACTCAACTGAATTGACTGAGCATGAGCAAGAGCAAAAAAAAAAATTAATGGATACATTTTTGTAATTTTAAAATTAATATATAATTCTGGTTCTACTTTGCTTTTTTGTTAACTTCATAAATGTTAGATCAAACTTAGTAGGCTAGGCTTTTCTCTTATGTTTTTCTATCTTTTTAATTATATTGCATAATGAGATAGAAATGTATTGATAAAACTTTAACAATTTAAAATATTTTAAACAAATCAGTTTCACTTACTAATCTAATCTGAAAGATATAGAAAATCTACTATGAGTGAAAGCTCGTTATTACATAATTTTTAAAAAATAGCTTATATGTTGTTTTATTATATGGTAATATACAGTTTTGATGGAGATAAACTGAATATTTGTAGTGCAATAAATGTTGAAAAATAAACAATTTATCCTGCCTGATATATTCAGTGTAGTTGTAGATTGTTCAGAATACTGAGTAATAACATGAAGAAATTTGAAATGTACTTAAATACTAAGTTTAAAACTCTACTTAGACATGGTTTTGTTTTCCAAGAGTGGACTGCATTTTTGTTATAAAAATTGCTTCTTGCTTTCTACTGAATTGAAAATATTTCAGTCTTTACTTTCCCCTATTTTGTTTTTCTTGTTTTAGTGGTCTGAATATTTATCTCTTCTATTTTCTTTTTTTTAAAAAATTATGAAAAAAAAAATTATGGATGTTCTATAATAGATAAATATTTGTACTTTAATGTGTAAATTATTTAAACCATGTTCTATGTAAAGTATTTTTGCTTTGAAATATTTGAGTTACAGTAAGAAAGTATGATTTCATACTGAAACTAAAGAATAAGCTATTATAGATTTTTATATATTTTGATGTTTATATTTGTTAATCTCAGAGTGGTTTTATTGCCTTTAAATGCAATTTTAATGCAATATTATTTTAGCTCAGCAATGTCATACATTCAAAATTCTTGAAATTTCTCATGTTTTATTTTTTCCTAAAGTATTTTTTCCAAATAATAGTGTGCATCATAATGATGTCTTCTTTTACACCTCATATTTTTCTAAAAGATATCTTAAATTATTTTACCATTTAATTTGATTTTCAAAACATCCAAATGTAACCATAAATGTGTCTTTTAAAATCAAGTCTCACATTTGATGTAAATCACTGCATATGTCTGATCTTATCTCACAAACAAAACTGTTATATTTAAAAAGTAGTGACTTTTTAAGTTCGTATTATTTTTTAAAGAGACTGAGCCTTAGATTCAAAGCACAGATTATCCATTTTGACTATCCTCATTTAATCATTTCATTTTTAAAATTAGACTGCATCTTACGATCCAAAAAATCCTCACTAATGTGCATTTCTGGCTGGGTAAATTCCCTTTGTCATAAAGTGGAAGCTAGCCTAAATTTTCTAATAATTTTTCATCATATTGAAATTCATGGCAAAAATAAAAATGAGATAATTTTGATTTCAAGTGCATATATTTTATAGTGATACTCTTCACCCTCTTCTTTCTGCCTAAGGAAATAGAGAAATTGAGTTTAGAACTGAGTGAAAGCAAGCAGCGCTTGGAACAGCAGCAGGAGAAGGCAACCCGGGCCAGAGAGGAGTGCCTGAAACTGACAGAACTGCTGGGCGAATCCAACCACCAACTGCACCTCACCAGGTACTGCCTAATCCCATTATGCACCGCAGCACCAATTTCATCCCTCGGATTTTTGCCACAGGCTTCCAAACAGTTGTTAGAGTTAAGTCTTAGTCATTCAATTCACACACAGTTTTTAGGCATATTAAGAAAAGTGGAGATGTAGTAAGCAAAACACCCAGACATGTGAATGATAAGTGTGGCAGGGAATTACTGATAGATTACAAAACCTTTCATCTACAATGCTCAAATATTTAGGTGATTCTCTATCAATATAAGCAAAATGACATATTTCTTCTACCACAGCCACTACCTCTCCTGTTAATTTTATGTCTAATAAAAATGTTGAACTGAAGTATCTGAGGAATATATTTAGGAAAATAGTGAGATACTGTCAGTGGTGAAAGAGACGAAACAAAAGACATCCTAAGATGCAAACTGAGGTGGCAGAGCTACAAAATAAGCAACCTGAGTCCTAAGGAGGTGTAAGAGTTAGACATGGGACTGACTGACGCTGTTCATGTTTAAGCCACTACTATAACCGTGCTTATACCATCGTGCTTTCAAACTACATCACTTCCATCATGAGATATTGTGACGCGAGAGCATCATTGTCATAAAACTTTAGTGAACACATAGCTTAGCCCTAAATTATGATAATACATTTTAGGTAGTAAACATTGGGAAATTTGTTATATTGAAAACATACAATATGCATAAATATACAGACACAGAGAAAAATTCAAACTGAGATTGTAGGTGTTTCACAGTACCATATAAATGGTTTCTTTTCCTTTCAAGTTTTAGTACAGTTTTTCAGTTTTCAGATCAAGCCTTTGGGTTTGTTCAGTTCTTAGAGTTTTTCAGTTTTTAGAGAGAACTTTGTCTAAATACCTACATAAGTTTATAAAATCTGGTTTATTCATAAATTAGAAAAACGCTGGTCTTCTAATCATAGTAAAATGTTGAATTTAAACTATGAAAGGGGACTGATCCCTTTTACATTAAATATGACAATGTAATTCTGAGCACGGTATGATAACAGATGGAGAAAAGCACCACTTGAACAGCCTGCATTTGGAGAAAAAAAATATTCTAGAGGTTGTTGAACCTCCCAAAGTTTTCGGTTAGTGTTAAGATGCCTCTAGTTCTGTTAAAATGAAACTTTGTTAAAAACATTTTGTTATGATAATATTCCAAATGGTTTGCCAACTTCCCTTTTAAACAATGAAAGAAAAGAGAAGAAAGGAGAAAAGAGAAAGGGAAAAAATGAAAGAAAGAAAAAATAATAAATTATTTATACACATGTGATATCTGGAAAAATCCCAATAGTTGAAATACTTTATTGAGAAAAAAAATTGCTTAATACTGCAGAATAATAGCCATTCTTTTAATGCCCATTTAAAGTATTTCAGTATAGAAGTGAGAACATAATGTTAACAAAGTTCCTATGGTTATTTTAATCTTAGAAGTTTCAGAATTTAGCTTGATCATGATATTTAATAGTTTTTCTTCTCTGTCAGACTTCTATTGAGAGCCAACCATTTGTGTGCTAAGTACTACTAACCCACAGAAATAGGACAGCTTTTAATGTCTCAGTGTGGCTGAACTTCAATAAATAAATATTAATGCTGCTTTTGCCCGCTTTGCCATTCTGTCTTATTCAGAGAGTTAGTTTCTGAAGTCAAAGCCATAGAGAGTTCTCCTGTGCTCTATCAATTTGTACTGTCTGACGAGATCCATTTCTTGCAAGTGGAGCATATTAAGATGCAGCAACCGCTGAAAATGGACTGGTGGTAACTAATTCCTTTGTTCTTAAGAAAAACGGTTTTGCTTGGTTCCATAGAAAGCTTTTTCTATTGAGCTTTATTTACTCCAAGTCTACAGAAATTTATAGAAAATAAAGCTTAATTATCTATTTTCTAAATGCAGTACTCTTTTGTAAGCATTTTACACTTAGTCTATGTTCATGTTTTATAAAATCCACATTCATAAATTTAAAGATGACAATAAAAATGAAAGGAACTGTATATATCTCTGTTTTGCACAGAAAATGACTTGCTTGTTGGACTAAATAATTCTGACACACTATTTGGGTTTTTTTTAGCATTTCCTTCCCTTCACCATTCTTTATTGATTTATATACTCAAGTGTGTGGCTGAGAAATTTCATATATGTGTTTTTAGCTGAAATAAATAAATCTCACCCAGGTAACACTTCATTTAGCCTTAACTTAAATATTTTGAGTGTCATATTCTAAGCAAAGTTTAAAATTAAATATGAAAAAGATGCTATAAAACAGTGATTAAAATAAGGATTTCAAATCTTCTAGGGCAAATAAAATTTTTAAATGAATAAAAATTTATAGGTCAACCTGTCACTTCTTTTGGGATTTCCCTTTATTATCTAACTGGACTTAAAAATGAAAAATAGAAATTCAACATTTTTTGAAGGACTCAATTAGTAAAATTACCATTCAGTTATTTAATGAGTATTTATTGAGCACCTACTATCTTTTACATACATTGGTTGGCCCTGGACATAGAGAGAAAAAAAAAACTCAGTTCCTATCCTTAGGTTGTTCACATTCTACAAAGGAGCCAGATCCATATATGCAATTACAATAGAGTGTGATGACACTGTAATGAGAGAAATTAAGATTGCCACAGACGCACATAGGAAAGAGAACCGTCTCATTCTATTAAGTGGAGGTGAAGGAGATAGGGAAAGCTTTCTGAGTTCATGAAAAAGAGTCCTCAAAGTAGAGAAAGGTGGGGCAAACACCGCAAGTAGAGGGAACAATATATGCAAAGATGTAAAGTTGGGAGAGAATATAGACTCTACAGTTACTTTAGGTGTTTGGCAAGAGAGGGAGAGGGACCAGAAGAAGGGTCTTGTGGGCCATATTCTGGAATTTTGGCCATTCTGAGAATAAGGGATTACTCTTAATGTAAAGTTTAAATCAGGGCTTCTAACATGATCAACTTTTGGGGTTAGGATCCCGACTCAGACAGCTGTGTAGAGTGACCTTGGAGAGTTGATGTAGGAGATAAGAAAACCAGTTAGGACAGAGTTGGTAACTACAGCCCATAGGCCAAATCTGGTGCATCATCTGTTTCTAAAGTGATCCATGAACTAAGAATTTTTTCTTTTTATGTAAAAATTAGCCTCCAACTAATAAAAATAATTGGAAAAAAAAGAATCTTTTTTTTAATGACTGGGAGGAAAAAAGAAAAATAATATTTTATGACACACAAAAATCATAAATAAAATTTTATTGGACACAGCCATGATTATCCTTTGTGTATTATGTGTAGTATTTCCATGGCAGAATTGAGTATGATTCTCAAAGCCTAAAATATTTATTATCTGGCCCTTCATAGAAAAAGTTTACAGCCCCTCAGTTGGAATCTTGTTTAACTCAAGAAGTCAAGAGAGCTTGAACTATGCTAGGATCAAATGTATATTTAAGGAAGGTAATTGAAAGGCACTGTGAAAACAGATTGGTTATGGAAGAGATGATTGGCAGGTACTCCAATTAGAATATAAGTACAGTAGTAGTCCTCAGCTGTGTATGCGCCAGGAAAATGGAAAGGATATAGTATCTTCAGGAGGCATTTAGGGTGATGATAAGAGAGACTGGAATTAAAGATGATTCCTGACCTAGAAGACTGGGATGTGGGGAGGGAAGGGATATGTGTATAATTATGACTGATTTGTGGTGTTGTACTGCAGAAACTAACAAAAAATTGCAATTTTCCAATTAAAAAATTAAAAAAAGTTTAAAAAGATGATTCCAAAGCTTCTAGCCTGTGTTAAGTAGATGATCCATTAATTCAACTGGGGAATGTTAAAGGAGTAGCAGAGGAAAGAATATGCTTAATTTTGGAACTCTGATGAAGATGTCCAGTGTAGATCCAATGTGAGGAGAAAGATCATGACAGAGGTTTAGATCTGGATGCTTTTACATAAAGATATTGTAGCCAAAGGAGTGGGTAGAAGCACATAGAGAGGACCATGTTTTCAAGAACCGTGGAAGAATAGCCAAGGGCCTTCAGTGTACATCAGCAGACGAATGGATGAGGAAGCTGTGGTACATATACACCATGGAATATTACTCAGACATTAAAAAGAATTCATTTGAATCAGTTCTAATGAGATGGATGAAACTGGAGCCCATTATACAGAGCGAAGTAAGCCAGAAAGATAAACAACAATACAGTATACTAACACATATATATGGAATATAAAAAGATGGTAACAATAACCCTATATGCAAAACAGAAAAAGAGACTCAGATGTATAGAACAGACTTGTGGACTCTGTGGGAGAAGGCGAGGGTGGGATGTTTCAAGAGAACAGCATCGAAACATGTATATCTAGGGTGAAACAGATCACCAGCCCAGGTTGGATGCATGAGACAAGTGCTCGAGCCTGGTGCACTTGGAAGACCCAGAGGGATGGGGTGGAGAGGGAGGTGGGAGGGGGGACTGGGATGGGGAATACATGTAAATCCATGGCTAATTCATTTCAATGTATGACAAAAACCACTGCAATGTTGTAAAGTAATTAGCCTCCAACTAATAAAAATAAATGGGGAAAAAAAAAAAGAAAAGAATAAAGTGTGGTTCAGGTATACTTTTGGTGAAGTAACAATTAAAACCATACACATGTTATCAAGGGATGGGGAGCATGTATCCTAGGATTGAGAAAACTGAGTTTTGGTATCTTCACCCAGGCATTCACTGTCTTTGCAATTTTTGACAAATTACTTAATTCTTTGAACCTGCATACTCACCTGTAAAGTTAGATTAGACAAGATGATTTCTAAGTTTTCTTCCAACTCTGATAGTCGAACAGCATGAGTTAAGACAATGCATTATTAAATTCCTGTTTCTGGGCATTAGGTGCTTAAATTGCTTGGAATATCCTTTGCTCAAGATGTTTCCTTAGTTTGTAAAGTTCAGAGAGATTTCATGGAAATGTCCTTCATACCACCATTAACATTCATCATAATTTAGGCTCTGGTGACTTCTCTTAAGGGTTATGAAAATACTCTTCTAACACCCTTCCAATCTCTTTTGCCAGCCACTGCCGTGTACATTCATGAACACTGTCTTGACTCGGTCACGGAATCCCATGAACAGAGGAGCCTGGAGGGCTGCAGTCCACGGGGTCGCAAAGTCAGGCATGTCTGAGTGACTGAGCACGCATGCACACATGACAGGCCCCCAGCCTTCCAACTTGATTTCATTGCTACCAGTTCCACCCTCTCACATGCTGATTTCCAGCATGTGATTTAAGCAGATGCAGACCTCCTTTGACTTTTGGTCTCTCCTTTCCTTTCACTGCTCTGTAAACCCTGAATACCCCTTTGAGCTTCTTTAGCTCTATTATAATCTTATTTTCCAGGTTTCCCTGAAATCCTAATTTTTTCACTGTAGTCCTCTCTGAGGACCTGTGCTAGAGGGAGCACATCTCCCTCTGAATCCTCCTTCCCACTGAGAGCTGAAGGCACTTGCTACTACTAAACAAATTCCTCAAAACAGGGAAAATGAACATCTGAAAAAATAAATTCATACTCTGAAGATTTTTATGTACCTGATTGTCTTCTCTTCTGTGATGTATTGTTCTTCAAATGGGAGGAGAGATCTTATTAATATTATAGTTCTCAGAGCACCTAGCTTAGCACTTTGCAAAGAGTTGGAGTTCAATAAGTCATTATTGTAAGAATGGTTAATACAAGTTTATGACTGTTTATTCAAGCCCAGTGTTGATGTGTGTGTGTATATATATATATATATATATGTATATATATATGTGTGTGTGTGTGTATGTATTCTCATATAAGGTAAAAAATATGAGATGTAACAAAGATGAAAAATTTTGTTGAGAATTTTTCTTGCACATATTATACTATGTTATGATTTATAACTTTTTTAAATTTTTAACTTATTATGCACATAAGTTTAAGTATAGTCAAATCAAATGATAACCCTTCTAACAACTCAGTAGGTTTGGTAAAGTGCCTCTCACCTTACTTGAAAACCTCACACACACACAGAATTTTAAACTAGAGGTCTCTATAATTAAAAGATGGCCCCTCTGAGAGTGTTTGAAACCAGTGCCTGATAAACATGATCATTAAACATACATAGCCTAGTATGTGAGTGAGTGAAGTGGAGTCGCTCAGTCGTGTCTGACTCTTTGCAACCCCGTGAACTGTAGCCTACCAGGCTCCTCCGTCCATGGGATTCCCCGGGCAAGAATACTGGAGTGGGTTGCTATTTTATACATGAAAACAAAAGCAAGGCTACTCCCTTTCCACTTATGTCTTTGCTAATAGTAATCAAATAGCTTCTTTCTTTTCCATAACAAACGTCCAGCTATGTTTAAAAATATATGTTCATGTATTTGCTCACTCTACATGGAACATTTCCTGTTACAAGACACTATCCTAGGGATGGTGGGAGACATGAGTATAAACTAGCTTCAGATGCTGCCCTTCAGAAGCTTATAGGCCAGTGGGGGCAAAAAGAAAATACACAAAGAGTTGGTAAGATAAATGATAAGATCCAGAAGGGACTTTTCAGATAAAATATTATGCAAACAGAGGGACAGATAATTTCTTATTATCCTTGGTAGCATTTGGATATAGGAAAATGGAAATGAAGGACATTTCATGGGAAATTCCAGAGGCCAAACTAGCATTTGGGAGTTACACATGTATACATGAGAAAGTTAAATACATACAAGTATCAGTCGGCTTCCCTTGTGGCTCAGCTGGTAAAGAATCCACCTGCAATGCGGGAGACCTGGGTTCAATCCCTGGGTTGGGAAGATCCCCTGGAGAAGGGAAGGGCTACCCTCTCCAGTATTCTGGCCTAGAGAATTCTATGGATTGTATAGCCCATGGGGTCGCAAAGAGTCAGACACGACTGAGTGACTTTCACTTCACTTTCACTTTCATTTTTATCAGTCTCTGAGGTTACGAATACGTTCATCTTGGGTCTGCCTGGTACCATGCCACATGTAGTGGCTTTTTAAAAAATAATAACAGAGGTATTAGCTAAAGGCAAGTAGCCATCACTTACTGAACCTCTACTGTGTTCTGGGAACTGAGCTGAGTGCTTTTCATCGAGCTCTCACAATAACCCTGTAAGGTGAAGACCATTATTTCCTTGTTTTACAGTGGACACAACTAAGGCACAAAGAAGTAAAATGATTCATCTAAGGTCACACAACTGGTATGTCTTTGAAACCCAGAAATTTGCCTGCAAAGCCTATATAGTTATCCATCAGGCTGTAGTTCTATGTGAGTTGGTTTTCTATGTGAGTTAGTAGGGAAATGGATTAATGTGATCATTTCCAAAAGACAACCAAGAAAACCAATAACATAAATTTATAATAGAGATAAGTGTTAGCTGCTCCCTTATCAGTTCAGTTCAGTTCAGTTGTTCAGTCATGTCCGACTCTTTGCGACCCCATAGACTGCAGCACACCTCCCTGTCCATCACCAACTCCCAGAGCTTACTCAAACTCATGTCCATTGAGTCGGTGATGCCATCTAACCATCTCAAACTCTGTCATCCCCTTCTGCCACCTTCAGTCTTTCCCAGCATCAGGGTCTTTTCAGATGAGTCAGTTCTTCACATCAGGTGGCCAAAGTATTAGAGTTTCAGCTTCAGCATCAGTCCTTCCAATGAATATTCAGGGCTGATTTCATTTAGAATTGACTGATTGGATCTCCTTGCTGTCCAGGAGACTCTCAAGAGTCTTCTCCAACACCGCAGTTCAAAAGCATCAATTCTTTGGCACTCAGCTTTCTTTATAGTCCAACTCTCACATCCATACATGACTACTGGAAAAACTATAGCTTTGACTAGATGGACCTTTGTTGGCAAAGTAATGTCTCTGCTTTTTCATATGTTCCCTTATATACTGATATAAATACCAGTCAATGAATTGTCATCTTAGCTTGTGATTTTCCTAAGAAACAGTGTCCTTTGGTGCATCATTCACATTAGTCATTTAATGTATTATAATCAAGCGATCACTCTACTTCTTCATTTCTTTTGTGCCCAAGAGAAAAGAGAGGCTTTTATTAAAAAGTGGAAATTCCTTCACATATTTGTTTTTGACATGTCCAAACATCTTTAAAAAGCTATTA